AGAAATTGGGTTGGGCCCCCCACTTCCCCTTCTCCTCCCTCAGTGGACCCCCACTCCCTTTTCCAGACATTTTCTCTCCTCCCAGCCCCCCCATTTGTAGAACAGTATCTGATGGACTCCTCTTGTCCTCATGTCTTCCTATCAATGACAGACTGTGCCTCCTCGACCTCACAGACTTTCCCCTCTATCCCGTTACTTTTTAAGATAATAAACTTTTTTTTTGGCAGCTCAGCTCGGGCCGGGCATCGAACTGCTGTTGCTCAGAGCTCGCACTCTTGAGTGAGCTCTTAACCAACTGAGCCACTCGGCCGGCCATAAGATAATAAACTTTTAATTTTGGAATAATTTTAGATTTACAGAAACGTTGCAGAAGACCGTAGCGTTTCCTAACACGCTTCAGAGTTCCCCTTTTGTTAACATCTTATATAACTACAGCACATTGTCAGAACGAGGAAACCAGCATTGCGTTTTGTCAGATGCTATTTTGTCCCTTTAAGTGGATGATAATGGTCATTATCTGTGTTTCACAGATGAAGGAAAGAGAGATTCAGTGAGGTGAGTGACTTGCCCCGGTCACATAGCTAGGAGGGTAAGGCAGCAGGAGAAAGGGATTAGGGGTTGGCATTTAGGGCCAGAATCACTCGGGGGTTGGGGGGGGTGAGCTTAAGCCCTAGCCTCCTTGTCTGAAGGATGATGGATCGTAAGTAATTACTTCAAGGCAAGATTGAGGGCTAAATGAGATCATGTCTATGACCGTCTACCTGACCACAAAATGGTCCCTGTTGTTGTTACTACCAGCAGCGTAATCATCACTAAGGAGCCCAGAGCGCCCTGACTCCAAGTTCTTTAAGAATTATGTTTAGGGCCGGCCGAGTGGCTCAGTTGGTTAAAAGCTCACTGAAGAGTTTGAGCTCTGAGCAACAGCGGTTTGATGCCCGGCCCGAGCTGAGTTGCTGCTGAGCTGCCACAAGGTGGCAGGATGGCTCAGCTAAAAAAAAAAAGAATTATGTTTAGAGGAGCCCTCCACTCACCCTCTGGGTACCTTTACTGGGGAAGACAGGCCGTACAGACCTTGCTTTGAACAAGCCCTAAAGACTGAGTGTTAGAAATTCCAGGGTGCAGTCCCACTGTGGCCGCTGGCTTGTGTGTCCTTGGGCAAGTCAGCATCTCCCTTGAGCCTATGTCCTCACCTGTAAGATGGGGATGATCAGAGTCCTCAAGGCATAGGTGTTGGGAGGACCCACGCACGGACAGGTGCAGAACAGCCTGGGGCCAGCCCCCCAACTGTTAGTGTGGCGGTCCTCTGGTCCCCTGAGGGGCAGGCAGGTCCCATCCTAGGTCTCCCAGTCAGTCAGGCCTCGTTCCAGTTCCAGGCAGGCTATCTAACCCTGCTGAAACCTGCTTCCTGTCAGGAAAAATCAACATCTGACCTCTTCAGCCTCACCCCAAACAAGAGCTCAGGAAATAAAAATGTTTCTGCTGCCCTTCCTCACCCTCAGGCCTAAAAAGGTTGTCTCAAGGTCAAGTTAGGGGCTCAACCAGAGGGAAGTCTAGGTCTTGCTAAGACCTTGTGCTGTCCACCTGAGCATAGCCTATGCCCACCCTCCCCCCTCATTTGGAGACTGCTCTGGGGGAGGGGGAGCAGCTGCCACCTGCCTGCTGCTTCTTAATGCTGCTAAACACCACCTCTCCTGGCTTAAAGGAGCCATCCATGAAGGAAGTGTTAACATTTCCCCTAAACAAGGTAAGATCATGACTTCCATACCGATGTAAAATCAACATGTGTTAAACATTTTAACTCCTAAGGGAACCAGGCAGATGTTATCACTGACTGGCTCAAAAGGGCAAGAGAAGAACATTCACATTTATAGGTCAGGAATAGTGAAATGAATGTGCACATGGAGACGAAACTGGTTTTTCCACGAGTGGGGAAAGGGGGCCATCTACCAGACAGAACAGAATTTATCAGTGACCTACCCTTTCCCAAGTGGCACAATAGCTCAAAGACAATGAAAGGTTAGAATTCAATAACCCAGAAGATGTGCTGTGGACGGTGTGGAGTTTTCCACTGAGACGCACATTTTTTTCTCCAGGAGGAAGGTCATGAATAGGGTGTGCTCCATGGTCTCTAACCTGATGATCATTCACGAGGTTGGTATGACTCACACACTACAAATGCAAGGTCCTATCTGAATGAATCCGGGAAATTACATCTCGCTGGCGAGCAAGAGGCCTGCCGCCTAAAATCAGCAACCTAGAAGATGAAGGTTGTGTAAGGCATATAAGGTTTTTTTCAGCTGGATTTGCATCTGGAACATTCTAGAATATGGGTATTTGTGGCATGAGTCTATAGCAGAAGGCTGTAGTTTTCACTGAACCTGGTTTGACCTCTGCTGTGCAGCCCTGGACAGTTATACCATCTCTCTGATGTGCAGCTCTGAACTGGGATATTAGTAGTACCTGCTTCATTGGTTTTTGTTTGTGTGTGTGTGTGTGTGTGTGTGTGTGTGTGTGTGTGTGTGTTTTATGAGTATCTATTCACCTTACAAGAAGTGCATTTTAAATTGATAAAACCATTTCTTTGAAAATGTCTGTGGTCACTGGGATTTTCCTCTAGCAGCTCAGCCTTCTCTCTCCCAGACCCTCAGCCCTTTCTACTCTCCATTAAGTCCTCATTTCCACCATTTGTGTCCCTAGCAGTGTAGGGAGCAGCACTGGGTCACCCTGGAGGGGCTTGGCACGTGCTAGGTGGAGTTCACACCTCTGAGCACCTGGGTGTGGCTGGGAAAGAGGGGCCCTGGGGAGAGGGTGACAAGCAGAAGAGCTTCAGACTCTCCAGCAACCCCATTTGGTCCTGTCCCAATTATATACTTCCTGAGCCCAGGTTCCCAGGTACCAACTTGCAGGGGTGGCAGTGTGGGAGCTCCCAGGTGAGACCCTCCTAGCAGGTAGGAGTTTGGGTGAATAAGGAATTCAGTCTCTTGAAGCATGGGTCTCCCTCCAAAGAGATGTGTTCTAATTGAAGCAATTCCACAGCCACATTGCTTGCTCACTGTCTTGTTTCCCAATTATTTTCTTCCCTCCTTCTCCCTGCAATGACGTGCGGTGGGCAGGCAAGAAGTATTCCCATCTCGCATCTGGAGAAGTTGAGGACCCCACCAGAAGCATGATAACATTGGTGCCCCGGGGCTCCATGCCCAGTTCTCTGGCCCATGCTGCCCTCTAGTGGCTGTACACCGCAACTGCCTTCAGGAAGCGCCGGTCAGCCCGCAGCGGCTGTCTGGATTTGCACACAGCAATGGCTAGCCTTCTAGGACCCCAATCCAGGGTATGCATCCCCACCTCTCAAGACTCCTACATCACTTTATCAGCCCCTCTTGCTGTCTCTGAACATTAAATATATATTTATGACTATATTTGTGGTAAAACATACGTAAAACGCACCATCTTAAACCATTAAGTGTACAGTTCAGTGGCATCTAAGTAATTCATTTTGTTGTGCAGCCATCTCCCCCATTCATCTCAAAATGCGTTTCACTTGAAACTCTGTACTCCTTAAACAACTCCCCATTCCCCCCTCCCCAAGCCCCCTAACCAACCGCCCTTCTACTGTCTCTATGAATCTGACGACTCTAAGTACATCATCTAAGTGGAATCAGACAGTATTTGTCTTTTTGTGACTGACTTATTTCTCATTGCAGAAATCTCCCTAGAAGTGTCCCCTTATGGAGCGATTCATAAATGTGCAGCCTGGAAGGCAAAGCCACCCCCCAGGATTGCATCCAGATACCACCCCTCCAAACACCACCAGTCAGAACTGGGCTGGGATATGAGGAATCACAGCACAAGATTACAATTTAATGATAGGAAAAGGCACACCAAAACCAAACTTGGTGACTAAAAGAGAAAAGTGGCCTCTGACAGCCAGGAGCTGGCCTGGCCCTCAGAGCTGGGCCTTGGTGGGCTCCGATCTCACAGCTCGCTCTAGTTACATCCCTTCTGAGCACTGTGCCTCTGGTCCAACTGCAAAAATGACCAGCACCCTCTATCCTGCGAGCCACTGCACTCCCCTCGCAACCTCAGCTGCTGCGCCACATCCTAAATATAAGTAAATAAAGCTTCTCAATCATAGACGTATCCATGCTTCCTGACAGCACAAATCTGGAGCAAACCCCCACTTCCTTAAATCCTCCCCAAGTTGTGAGTCCCTCCCGATACCTGCCTACTGAGACTGCGGCTCCCCATGCTGTGTGGCCACAGCAGCACAATAAACTCCTTTGTTGACTGGGGGCACGTCCCTGGTGGTCTCTGATAGATAGGCTTCAACAGGACCATTGAGAAATGCTGGTAAAAGGAGTGATGGCAAAGAATTGCTGGCCAGCACCAGAGGGAGCAGGTGACGCGTGAGCTAGTCAGAAACCCACCAGCCCAACATTTCTCTCCATCACAGCAACCCGCTATGATAGATATTAGTGTTGTTCCCATTTTACAGACGAGGACATCAAGGCTCGAAGGATTAACTAGTCCACACTATTGAGTGGCAGCGCCAGGTCTGAGACCTGAGTTGCCTTCCCCCCAAGCCCAGCGTTCTTTCCCACCGTGCACCCCCCTCTGGAGCTGCACCAGCCGAGCAAGCCCCGCCTTCGATATATAAGTGGTTCCTTTCACGCGCAGTGAGCACCATCTGAGGGTGAGTGTTGACTCTGCTGAAGGATTTGGTGGCCTTAGAGGGCCTCCTACAGCAAAGGCTCCACCCTGGATTTGCTGCGGCCAACCCTTTTGCTGGTGGCCCATGTCCAGGAGCAGCACACCTGAGTTGGCAGGTGCAAGCCTTCATGAGGGATGCGAGTTCCCAGATGTGCTGAGCTGAGCCCCAGTTTGGGGGGAGGTGCACGCATTGGACACTCGTGCCGCCATGAGCAGATGCTCAAGGAACACTTTTCTAGGGCTACTAGGCGAGGTCTTAGATGAAACACAGACAGACTTCTAATAGTTATGCATTTATTTTCATGTGTAATAGGAAACAATCAGAACTAGCTCAGCAACATGTGACTGCATGGATACATCATTGCTTAGCACAAGACTAAAGCTGGAAGTGAATTAAAAAAAAAGTATGTTGGTTTAACGAAAACATTAAGGAAACAAGAGAATAGTAGGTCCTTGGTTATGACAAAAACTGTGGGCATGGTATGTGGATGCCTGGTTTGGGGGGCTTGTCACTCTAAGCTTCCAGCAAGAAGCTGTGCTCTGGTCTGAAGCCTCTAACAGGCTCCACACAAGGTGTCCCAGGACGTGGAGCCCGGCATCCTCATAGGCTGGGTGGTACACGAGACAACCCCAGGGAGCAAAGTACACCTTGTTTAATTTGTTCATGCCCTACAAAGTGTCTACAAGTTACGAAGCAATAAAAGTGATTTTCCTTAAAAGAAGAATCTTCTAGGTGAAGCCTTGAGGAGGCAGTGGTCACAGGGCAGCCTGGGCAGGAGGGCCCGAGTACGACTTAGGGGCATAACCAGGGGGCTAAAGGGATAGCCGCTGGCACTGTCCTGGAGGAGTGTGTGTGTGTGTGTGTGCTGTGTGTATGGCCCTAGTCAAGGCTACCAGGAGAATGCTCAGAGCTCCTGCGCCTTGCTCCCCAACAGATAATAGGGGGACTTAATCAGTGTCTGCTGACTCACTGTTACACACAGGAGCACCATAGGCAGGGTGGAGGGGTTGCCAGTGTCCCTGGGCGTCAGCATATCTCACCCTTTCTTCCTGCCCCTGCTCTTCAGGTTCACAGCTGGGCCTGGGCCAGTCACCCAGGTGAGAAGTCCATGGCCACGCCACTACCAGGTCACATTCTTGTGCATTTATGAACAAATGGGAGACATTTCCTACTAAGATCCACCTCCCCCCATCCAAAGAATGTTCTCCATCATTTAAACCTCACATTTTAAAAAAAGCGCTTTTTTAGGGGACCTTGGAGTTTTACTAAAATGGCTCAGTCCTGCAAGCCAGAGCTGATCTCAGCACCCCGCCCTACGGGACAACTAAAGTGTCACTGCTAGGGACACAGGGTGCCACCTGGAGACTCGCCCCAACTCATCCCTGGAAACGCGCTCAAGAGGGGCCAGAGCCTCGAGACGTGCACCCCAGGCATGATGTGGAAGGCTTCCAGTGCCCAGAGGAGAGAAGGAGGAGGTGAAAGTCTGAGGGGCACTGTCTCCTGCCACCCCTACCTTTGAGCTGGGAGGAGGCCGGGGCTGCGGTGGCTCAGGCCCTGTTGCGGACATGACAGACTGGTCCCTGTTGTGGCTCAGAAGGAAAGTGTGTGAGAGCAGGTCAGGAAGGGGAACCGAGTCAGGGAAGGGACCCCGACCGGGGCCAGTGGGCAGCTCAGGGCCCCCAGGCCCGGGGGTGCTCTCAGCAGCACCCTGCGGCACTCCGCTTCACGTGGCACGGCTTGCAGAAAAGACGGTCGTTCAGCGGGTAGCAGCCTTGGTCCGTGGGCTCCACAGACAGGGGGATCCTGCAGTCCTGTGGAGACAAGGGACATGTGGCTGGACCCCAGGCCTGACTGAGCATTGCAGCATGGAGCCCGCCCGGGGTGGGGGGCTCACCTAGCGTTTGCTGATGCAATGAACTGAGTGAACGGGCTGGACTCCCTAAGGGTGAAGCAGGCGGCTAGCTGCTCCTTCCTGTTTGCCCAGCACACCTTGGCCAGGTCTCCATCAGGGAAGACCAGACAAGGCACACAGGGCTTTCATCCACACGGGGGTGAATGATGAGAGCAGTCAGCTGGGAGAAGTCCCCTGAGGAAGCGTGGAAAGAGCTAGAAAGACCCTACCAAACACCTAGCAGCCCCCTTAGAACATATTCCAAGTTTTCAGATCCATGAGGATGGGGATTTGGGGCCCAAACTGATAACTTCATTATTCTGCCACAGCCTGCATCTCCCCTGGGCACATGTTGTGGGGTAATCATGGGAACAATGAACGCCCCGAGGCCTGGTTCAGGGCATGGCTGTCATCTTCATTCATCAGTCCAGAGGGGCTGGTTCCCCATCGAGACAATTTTGGGCTCAGGGGTGCCAGCCAGAGGAGCCTGCTGAGGGCGCCCCCGTGTGCCTCTTCTCTGAAACTGCACCTCCAGTCTCTAAATGGGACGTGGGCTATTTAAAGCCAGGATCTGTGCTATTCCTATCGCCACTTGTTTGGCATTCTCAACACATCAAGTGCCAAACCTAAAGTCCCAAAGAGGCACATGTGGCCTCTTCTAAATTAGAATCAAGTGGAGAAACACCTCCACCATGATCGAGTCACACAGTCTGGCAGCCAGCGGTAGGCTGGCAGGAAGCTGGCTAGACCTGGTGCAGACAAACAAGGGTTGGAACCACTTTTCTCAGCCTCAGTTTCTTCACCTTACATGGAGACAACAACTCCCATCTCACAAGACTGTCACCAGGATTAAGTAAGGCGAAACACATGAAAGCGTTTTATAAAGTAAAAAACACTACTCAGGTGTAAATGACCTGTTAATAAATAACACGAACCACAAAGCAAGCAGGACTGATGACAGGAGGGTGGATGATGGCACCTTGAAACTCATTGCCCTTTCTAAAGAAACAGCAGCCCCCCTACCCCCACCCCCGCAATTGGTTCCAGGCCGCTGTGGTTTGCGTCTTACCATCTGAAATGGAACTGCTCGAGTCCAAACTCAGACTTTCTGCGGCAGCCTGGGTTCTGCTCACTGTAGCCTAGGCCAAGCTGACCAAGGACAAGCAGGGAGGGGAAGGGGTTATTTGCTCACTAGCCAGGCTCAGGAAAATGCTAATGACCACTGGACATTATGAGGGCTATGGTGGTGATAACAGCATTTGAGTTTCATCATTGCTCTTCAAGAGCTGTTATGGGCTGGACCTTGAACTCTAATCAACAAAGATAACATAAGTATGAAGCCATCTGTCAACTTCTCCACTAAGCTCCCTTGTCACCCTCAGTGAAAATAAAATGGCTTCTTGGTTCCATGTATCCATTTGAATAAACGTTTAGAATTACTCAATGGCTGATTAAGAGATTTGCTCTGGGTGTCCCCACTTTAGGTGACACCCATAAAAGTTGCTACCTTTGTCCCCATCACTAGAGAGGATAGGAACATCAGTGACATGGAAGTGACAGTGGAACAGGTAGGACAGGACTCTTGGTGCCTCCCCAGCAGGACTGGCTAAATAATGTGTACGATCCAGGGCAAAACGAAAATGCAGAGCCCCTTGTTCAAAAATTCAAAGTTTCAAGACAGTGACAGCAGAGCTTCAAAGCAAACATAGGACCCTCCTGAGCCAGGGGACCTGTGCGACTCCCTGGGCATTTCTTCCTGGCAATACTGTACCAGCTTCTAACCAGCCTCCCGGCTCAGCCTCACCCCTCCCTGCAGTCCAAGGTCCAGACTCCTTAGCCTGGCTCATGGGGCCCTTTCCTCCTCTCCGACCACACTCTCTTGCACTCTACACTCCAGACACACCTAGAAACCTCCACTTCCTCTGATTCTTCAGGCTTGCTCATGCAGGTTTTTACAGGCCCATGTCTCTTTCTGGATTTCCTCTCCCCTCTCTGAATATCTGGCAAACTCCTACTCATCCTGCAAGACAAAGGGTAAGCGTCGCCTCCCCTGTTAAGAGTGCCTTTGAGCCCACCACCCTGGTTAGATGCGATCACTGCCTTCTAGTCCCTACGCTGATTTACACATGCTCTGTCCCAGCAGCCAGAAAGGACATCTGGTATGAGGGTCTGCCTCATCCCCTTCTTCCTTCCTACCGTTGTATCAACCCCTCTATTTCACATGGTTCTGCCTCCCTGGCTCCAGGGATTGGTAATCATAGCCCCTGGACAGTGATTGGTCCAGAATGGGCATGTGATCCAAGCTGGGCCAATCGGAGGCTTTCTTAGGACGGAATGGGATCGCTGGATGTGGTTTCTAAGTTAAAAGAATGTAAACCTGGGCCAAACATGGCCATGCACGATATCCCCCTCCTCACAGAGAATCCCAGCCCACAGAAAGAGAAAATGAAACAAACACAAAAAAGGCAGAACCAAGAGCTGGAGAGAGAGCCCTGATTATATAATTTGATATCATTAATGACATAACCACCATGAGACTTCCCAGGATTCCCTTTCTTGCAGAAAGCAGGTCAAGTTTGGTTTCTATCATTAACTCAAAGAATTCTGATTAATAGACTCTATTTGTAACTATTTCCATTCTTATTTGTTTCTGCTATTGGGTAGTGAGCAATTTGAGGGCAGGGACCCCACCCTGACTTGTCCCAGCCCAGGGCCTGGAGCATGACCTGTCATTAAATCATCACTGTTTCACTCACCTCGCATCTGTAGCAGTTTTCATGGAAGTTTCTTCCCATGCACTCGATTTTGAAGGCGTCCTTCCCGTCTCGGGGGATGATGGGATTCTCACAGATGCTGCACACAGGGGCAAATTTCCTAGAGGGAAAGGAACTCACGCTCGGGAGGCGTTCACGCCGACAACCACAGAAATTAGCTGTCAGAACGGAGGCTGGCTCTAGTTCTCATCCCAGAGCTATTTCAGACCTGTTGCTATGTGCCTGCACCTGGAGCTACAACCACAAATGCCTCTTTCTTCCTGGCAGGAGTAGATGGAGAGACGTGTAATTAGACCCAGCTTCCTAGGGTACAATTAGCTCGAGGCAAGGAAGTGAGTGGGGGATGTAAGAATTTGAGAAAGCAGAGACATCATGTGAGTTCAGTGTGGTGGGGGCCCTTTTCGTTTGTTTTGTTTCATAGGTCACGGCTTTTTCCTCTTCTCGCCTTCCTTTTTAAGAGGCACATCTGTCTCTCCCCATGGGCAGTGAACAACTAGAGGGCAGGGACTGAGCCTCCTAGATATCCGTGTGGCCACTGCTTCTTATGGCTCCAGGGGAGGCAGTGGTTGGGGATTGAAAGCAAGGCCCTGGAGTTAGGTCACTAGGCGTTTGAATCGAAGCTTCCATACTTACCAGCTGGCAGACTTAGGGTGCTTATCCGCTCTATATCGCAATTTCCACCTTTGGTAAAATGGAGCCCTTCATACTCCCTGCCTGATAGGACAGTTTTGAGGATGAAATGACCTAACCCAAATGGAGTGCCTGGCAAGCAGGTGCCTGGTCAGATAGAGGGTGTGTGGAACAGGCAGACAGGTTTCGGCAGGAAAGCTCTGACCCAGCCCCCGGCACTCAGGCTCAGCTCCTCTGCTCTGCCCGAGTCCCACCCTGTCCCTTCTGTGCTCGGACCCCTTCTCGTACCTATAGAAGTCATCCAGGCAGTACACCTCATTTTGGTTGTCCAGGGCAAAGCTCTCGTCCCCGATGCACCGGGCACAGGTCACACATGTGAAGCAGGTTGGGTGGAAGGCCTGGCCCAGGGCCCTGATGACGTGTTCCTGAACCACCTCGCCACACTTGCCACACTTCTCCAGGGTGTCCTGGAACAGAGGGCCACTGCCTCAGAGCCAACCTACGCACGTGCCCATGCCAAGCCACAGGGGCTTCTGACCAGCTCAGAAGGGGCCCAGAAGGCCAGGGGTTCAGGAGGGGAGCTCAAATGCATGCAACTGGCCTATAATTACTACCCCTAGTTCTCCCCTATTTCTTAAAGTGGATCGAGCTTGGCACTGTATCCTTGGATTACAGTGAGGAACCTTGCTATGAAGCTAGCTATGACGGCACATTTTCTTACTAGAAAATGCTTGAGGCCAGTGTCCACTACAGCCCATAGAAGAAATTTCTCTTAAATCTTAGAGTTAGGAAAAGGAATTCCTGGAGCAACAGGTGTGCTTTTTATCTTTATGGACAATAAACCTTGAAATGCTTTCCCTTTTCGATTTGGCCACTTGGAGGCTCAGAGTCAAATTCCACGCTCCACGTTTAGGAACAACTGTTGGGGGAGGAGGGGTGTCTTTTTTTCATATATTTTGTTGTACTAACTTTCCCTTTGGTCCCATCTCACTTTCTATTTTGATTTTCCTCTGTTCTGATTTATTTATTTTATATCTTATAGCATTATATGCATTCTCAAAAAAAATTTTTTTTTTACTGTGGTAAAGCCACTTAACATGAAATCCTCCCTTTCAACACATTTTTAAGTGTCCAACATTATTGTCGACTATAGGTATATGTTCAACTTTATAATCTTATCAACTGCCTCAAATCCATTCTGGAATGAAGAGGGATGAGAGTGATATCGATAGACAGACATCACTGAGGCAGAGCAACCAGTCCATCTTTCTCCCAGACATCTCGTCCCCTTCCTGGCTGTGCGCCTATTCATTTTAACCTGATTCCATCTGTCAGGTGGGGACACCATTTCCCCCTCCCTGCCTTCCTGGGGGCAGCCCTTCTCTCCCCAGCACACTGCTCAAGTCCCTCCTGGCTGCTTCCAGCTGTAACCCTCTCCTCACCCTTGCTTCCCCTCAGTGCCTCACCCCTGCTTGGCTCCAAGCTGAAGGAGGAGGGTAAAGACGCCCCCATGTTGATGAGGTAGAGGGCTCCTTTTTCCTCCCACAGTGCCTCCTCGCAGATCGTTCAGAATTTTCTAGATAGTCCCAACTCCTATTCTAACTCCTCAAGTCAGTAGTTTTCAAACTTCAGTGTGTATCAGAATCACCTGAGAGACTTTAAAAATGCAGATTGCCAGGTGCTGCCAATTCAGGAGGACAAGGTGAGGCCTATGCACACTCGGGTGGCACGTCTGTGGGGGTTCTGTACGCCACGCTGAAAAACGCCACCTCACACTTTGGAAAGTCAGCAACTCCAATACCTTGGCATCTAAACTAGCTCTCCCAGACTGCATGTGGTACCCAGAGGTGATACAGACTCCCCCCCTGCGCATTGGAACCTCATGACTCTAGGTGAGAGAGCGGCCGGACCACAGGCAGGCTCCACCAGACAGCCTGGCGTTGAACCGAAGCTCCACCACCTTCTGGAGTGTGACCTTGTGTGATAGGCCGAGTGATGTCCCCAAAGATATCCAGGTCCTAATTCCTGGAAGCTGTGACTACTTGAATGGCAAAAGACTTTGGAGATGTGGTTGAGTTAAGGACCTTGTGATGAGGAGATTATCTTGGATTGTCCAGATGGGCGGCGACCACAAGCGCTTGTAAGTGGGAGGCACAGGGAGATTGGGCACAGAAGGAAATATGACACTGAAGCAAGATGCCACCCTGCTGACTTTGAAAGGACAGAGGAACCAAGGAATGCAAGGAATGCAGCTTTAGAAGCTGGAAAGGCAAGGCAACGGATCTCCCCTAGAGCCTGGGCGGTGAAGGCAGCACAACACTTGGACTCAGTAAGACTGGTTTTGGACTTTGACCTTCAGAACGGTAAAGAGGGTAAATGTGTATTGTTTGAAGACACCAAGTTTGTGGCGCTTTGTTACAGCAGCCACAGGAAACTAAGTCACCTTGGCTGAGCTCCTGCCCATCGCAGCCTCAGCTCCCTCATCTGTGAAATGGGTCAATAGTGCCTACGTCCCATGGTTTTTGTTGTGGGGAATGAAATAATATAACATCTCCCAAGTGCCTAGCTCAGTGCCTGGCACCTGGAGAACTGCCGTGGGGGGGTCACCTGGTAGCAGAGTTCACAGAGGGGCCGCCCATCCTTCTGGTAGAATCTCTGCCCAGCCAGCTGGCGGCGGCACGTGCGGCACGTGAAGCACTGGGCGTGGTACTGCCGCTTCATGGCTTCCACGGCCAGCTCTCGGGGGGACACGGTCTTGTGGCAGAAGGCACAGATATCTGGGGTAGAGGAGACACAGGCCATGATCCGCCCATCCTGCGAGTATTATACCTGCTCACCACCCAAAATGTGCCCAGAGCGCCAGGTGTCTACCTCGAACCCCCGGGGGCTGTGAGTGTGGCCTCATGTCCTGAGGGTCATTAGGAGCAGTAAAAAGCAATGTGAATGGCCCTTGACAAGAGACGCAGTGTAAGGACAGCGGGGTTTCCACTCGCAAAAAATTAAAGGGGGGCTCCCTCATGATACCTTACACCCAGATCCTTTCCAATGTGGAAAACGAAGCCAGAAGAACTCTAGAAGAAACCAGGGGAGAATTACTTTTAACCCTGGAGTAGAGAAGGCCTTTTGGTGCCTGGTAAGTATGCGTACTTAATACTGTTTATTAAATGAGTAACACCCAGTGAGGGCAAAGCTGTGGGCAAACGGGCACACAGACACTGCTGGCGGGAGCAGAGATGAGGCAGACCCAGAAGGGCAACGTGACAAAAATACTGAAGTTACAAATGCACGTACCCTTTGACCACAGTACTTCCTCTTCTAGGAATTTATCCCACAAACTTGCACACGGGCAAAATGACCCATGTGCAAGGTAATTCACCTCGACCTTATTTGTTACAGCAAAAAGCCACCTAAGCACCCATCCACAGGTGACTGGTTACATGCACATGGTAGGGCCCTGCTAAGGAATAGTATGCAGCTGTGAAAAAAGAATAAGGAACCACTTTACATTCTGATGTGGAATGGGCTCTAAAATACGAAGGAAAGAAACTGCAGAACTGCACAGTTTGCTACTGTTTGTGGAAAAACGGGAGTGGCGGGGGAGCCTGTGGATACATATTTGTATTTGCTCGCATATACATAAAATACCTCTGGAAGGATATGCAAGACATTAACTACAGAGGTTGTCTACCTGGAAGGGAACTGGGTGATACGGGCATGGAGCACAGGGCAGACTTTTCACTGTGCACCCTTTCGTGCTTTCTATTTTGTACTAGAGGAGGGTCTTATGTATTCAAAAATTAAATAGGGAAAGAAATTCAAGGCATTTTTGCTATCATAGCAAATTTTGTTGGTCAAATTTAAGTGGATTTTAACTATAAAATGGTTAAGGCGCTACAAATAAAGTTGATGTTAAGACTTACAAGGCCCATCCCTGAACTGTGAGCTGGGGCAGACACTGTGGTCCCTGCTCTCCTAGTTCCCACCTGGGAGCCCATGCTAGCCGCACGAGGGCCCCCGGGGGCCACCCAGAGTCCTTCCAGCCCTGTGCCCGTACCTGTGGAGGCCTCTCTCTCGGGGAAGCCAAGAGGCTCTTCTGGGGGAGGCGGAAGTTCCTCTGAAGGCCGGAGATGACTGGGCCGAGGCTCGAGGGGAGGCCCCTCCACCAGGGACTGTGGGGACATCAAAGGGGATAGAAGAGTCATCCAGTGGGGACCCCACACAGCCCTCAGAGCTCTGCTTCTCATCTGGCAGCACCAGGCATAATTAGCCCCATTGTACAGAGGAGGAAAAGCAAGGCCCAGAGAAGCCAGTGACCTATCTGAAGTCACTCAGCAGGAAGGTTACACTGGCAGCTGCAGCCCAGGTCTCCCAGCTCCTTTCCCTGGGTTCCCTTAACCAGTCACAGCTACTTCCTTCTACTTCTAAGGAGTCTCCTGGAATCAGGTTGGCCTGGTTCTCCACGGCCCTTGGCCTGGAGGCCACTTCTACAATGGCCACTGTTGAGGATTAAACACAGGTTTCCTAGAGCTGAAGGGGGCAACGGAGGAGGAAAGGGAACTTGAAAAACAAGACCAATTTTTACCAGCCTCAAAGAGCTTCGAAGAGGCACTGCCCTCAGGCAGGAGAATGGACCAAACAACCTCCAGGCTCAAAATCCCTTGAAAGGCTCAGGAAGCTCAGACTCTCCCCCGTCAGGGATCAAGGGATTAGCAATACCTGTGGTGGGGGCGGGGGTGGGGGCAGGTGCAGCTGCTCTAAGTCCGAAATGAGTGATGCCCCCATTGAAGCAGAAGGCTCGTCATCAGGAGAAGGCAGGTATGCCGGTGGGGGCGGTGGTGGAGGTGGGAGGAAGTCCAGGTCCGGTAGTGCGTCCTCGCCATCCAGGGTCGGAGGAGGAAGAGAACATCCTGCAACTAGAAGAGCAGAGAGGGTTGGCAAGAGTCTCTGCAGGCGAGCTGAGGAGGTGTCCACTTGCTCAGAAGGCTGTACAGCGAGGCAGCTAAGGGCTCAGGTCCAAGGTCACCCAGACCCGGGGTCCATCTCTGACTCTGCCACTGACTTGATACGTGTCCTCAGGCAAGAGACTTAAGCCTCTCTGAATGTCAGCTGGAAAACGGGTATCAATTGCTAGGGTTGTTGTGAAGGTGATGAGATGACGCACGGAAGGGCTTCGCACGGTGGATGGGACATGGCACCGGCCCAGAAAACAGTAGTGTTGAAGCCCTCCATAGCAGCCCTCCCCACCTGGGTGTTGGCGTGCCCGAAACCCTGGCAGGAGGCCCTTGTTGGGCTATAAGTAAAACCAGTCCCTAAGGCGCGGTTCTCAAAGTGTGACTCCTGGACCAGTGGCAGCACCACCTGGGAGGGCATTAGAAATGCACCTCTGGGGCCTGCCCAGGACTGCAGAATCGGAAACTCCTGGGTGGTGCCCCGCCGTGTGGATCTTAAGCCCTCCAGCTGGTGCTGAAGTCCCATCATCGCATGTAGGACATTGTGCAGAAACACCCTATTTCTGCAACAAGCCAGTGGGATGGGAGAGAAAAAGGGAAGGGACTTCCTCAGAATGAAGAGACTTTGAAGAATAACCAAACATAATGTATATATTTGCGCTGTCCAATAAAGTCGCCACCAGCCACGTGTGGCTATTGAGCGCGTGAAAAGTCCACACTGGGATGCGCTGACAACTCAGGACAGGAAAAAGAAAGTTAACTACCTCGTAGTCATTTTCACAACAATTACATGCGGAAATGACAGTGTTTATATATTGACTTGCATAATATACATTATGAAAAGTAATATTGCTTCATTCTTTTTTAGTTTTTTCAACGTGGATCCTAGAAAATTATAAATTACATACGAGGCTTGCATTTGTGACTCACAATATATTCTCATTGGATAGCGCTGGTAAGACCTTATGTGATCCTGATTCAAAGGATGAATCATCTCATTTAATTCTCCTCATTTTGCAGATGAGGAAAAGTTTAAAATCCCACTGAATGACATAGCTCAAAAGAAAGATAAGGCATAATGTAAACCATTCATTCCACTACAATCCAACCGTTAAAAGGCATTTTTACGACAATTCAGGGAAATTAAGTATGGCTACAGCATTAGACAATCACAAGGCATTCTTATTGATTTTGTTTGGCATTGTGGTTATATAACAAAACGGCCATATTTAAAGATGTACCCTGAAGAATAGGGGGCTGAAATGACCTGATTACTGGCATTTCCTTTAAACTGCTTCACAAGAGGAAGGGAAGGAGGGAGAGAGGGAGGGAGGGAAGGAGAGGAGGGGAGGAATAGACAAAACACATGTGGCAAAATCTTAGTAATTGTTGAAACTGGGTGTGGAGTACACAGGGTTCCTTGTGCTGTTGTCTCTGCTTCTGTGTATGTTTGGAAGTTTCATTAAAAAAGAACGCACACACAACAACTCAACAACAAACACACATATACAAAAGGCAGGAGTGACATCGAGGGGGTGGTCCTGGATCCTACCTGCTGGTCCCTGCTCACAGCCTCTTGGGTGCTTCTGCCGGGGAGGGAGGCGGTGGGCTGGAGGGTCGCCCAGCTCCTGCCTCAGCCCCAGGCCCTCCGCTATCCAGGAATACTGACTATCGTGCGACTCCTGCCCCTCCATGCTGCCCTGACAAGGGGCTGACAGCTTCCCTGGGGGCTCAGGACAGAAGCCGTAGCTGTAGCTGTGAACCCGCTCACGAAAATCTTGTCACTGCCACACACAGGCTGAGTGTTATTAATAGTGCCTCAGGGTAAAGAACTTGGAGGCGGTCTGCTCGCTTCCCTGACACTATGGCCCAAGGTAGCCAGGCTCCATCAAGGTCAGGCTGCCTTACCCTGGACACTCATGGAAAGCAGATGGAAAGTGCCCAAGGCCCTGCCCCCTGAAGGCCTGGGCTCTGGTCCCATTCTCTGCTAATTCACTGGGGCACCTCGCTGATGAAAGGAACTCTCTTCTTTCTCCCTCCAACAGAGGGGACTGTATGGACGGGAAGCTGGTTCTAGCCCTGTGAGTACACATGGATCATCTGGGGGCCTGTTCAAACTCAGCTGGCCGCTCCCCACCCCCAGAGCTTCTGACTCCGCAGGCTAGGGGTAAGCTCAGGCAAGTTACATTTTTTTGAAACGTTCCCGATGCTGCTGGTTGAAAGGTCACACTTTGAGAATGACTCTTCTAGTCCACAAGTTTCACCTGCTTTACGCTTTGGGACTAAACAATAGTTCTCAAACTGGGGTCTCCAGGCCAGAACCCCAATACAACCTGGAAATGGGTAAGAAATGCAAATTCTTGGGCCCCACCACAGACCTGCTGAGTCGGAAACGGCCAGGGTGGGGCTCCCGCCGCCTGTGTTTGAACAAGCCCCGGGGGATGCTGACACCACTAAAGTGTGAGAACCAAGCTCTGGACGAGTTAATGTGAGTCAGGAAGCAGATGAAGGGGACACAGCAGCACTGAGGCCTCTCCCAGGACCTGCTTTAGGCTCTAGAATAGGCTGAAGGGTGGGCAGGTACCGGCCAGGGTAGGAATTCAAGCGTGAGAGACATGGGACAGGTGTGCAGAATGGGGGTGAACAAGGATGATTCGGTTCAGGTGACCGAGAGCGAGGACGGGGAGCAGCCTTTCAAAGAGAAGCGGAGGATAAGAGAGGTAGTGCGGCTGTGTGAGTGGCCAGTGCGAAGTGGAGGAAGACTGGGGGACGGTGTGGACTCCTGCCGGGATGAAAGGGCTAAAGAAACGTGGCTGGACTCCTGAGGGGACAGCACTATAAGAGGCATCAGATGACAGCCTGCTGTAGAGATGGCTTTAAGCAGCCCGCATGGCCCCAGGGCCTGCTTTGGTGTTCTGTGGTCAGATCAGACTCATGATCAAGCTGCTCACTTAGAGCTTATCTCACTCCAGCAAGGCTGAACCCCAAGATTTGCTGTGCTCTGCTCAAGTTCACCCAGTTGGCAAACACAATGGCTGACCCGTTACTGTGAGGCCACCCCCTCCTGAGGAAGGTCTGGTTTTGTCACCACACTCCCAGGATCTTCCGCCTATAATTCCAATAACCCGTGGAAATGTCCTAGAAATTTTGGAATTTTGGCATCCAAATGATATTTCTTGAGCTCCCTCTCCTATCCAGAAGGGACATTCCCCTCCCCCCCATTGGTCACATGTCCTGATGTGTGGATCTGGGAAATCACCATCCAGGTTCTTCTATACGGAGAAGCAGCTGGAGAAGGCTGTGTTCTGAGGATGTGTGGTTAGGGGCCAGCAGAGTGGCTCAGCTGGTTATGAGCACGAGCTCTGAGCAACAGGGTTGCCGGTTTGATTCCCACATGGGCCAGTGAGCTGCGCTCGAGCTGAGCTGCACCCGAGCTGAGCTGCCACTGAGCTGTCAAAAGGCAACAGGATGGCTCAGCTGGTGTAACAACAAGATTGCTATTCGAAGGTGGGCTACGCCCACTGCAACTAAGACCAAACTCGGCACCTTGAGCTGAGGTGCCGCCCAGATGGCTCAGTGGATAGAGCGTGCGCTCTTAACAACAAGGCTGCTGGTTCGACTCCCACATGGGATGGTGGCTACCCCCACCCGCAACTAAGATTGAACACAGCACCTTGAGCTGAGCGGCCACAAGCTGCCGATGGGCGGCTGGATGGCGCCTGGACTTGGAGCTGAGCTAGCTGTGCCCTCCACAACTAAGACTGAAGGACAACAACTTGTCTGTTTCCCTTCCCCAATTCCCCAACACTGTTCCCCGTCCCCAATTCCCCAATAAAATCTTAAAAAAAAAAAAAGACGTGTGGTTAGGACGAAAAGATGAATTTCGGTTGTGTCATACTGAAGATGCATGTTATGTGAATATCCACGTACTGTCACATGTGGCCCCTTCCCCTGCCCCTTTCTGGCCTCCTGTGATTGGCATTTCCTGTTGGTCTCTAGGTGGTTTTCATGGTGATGGCTGCACAAGGCTTCCCTAGCCTTGCTAGGGACAGCAAGATATCTGACTAGGCACCTGGGGGGACCCTGGGGAGACCAGCTGCCATCCTGGGCTGGCCTCTCACCTTTGGCATCTCAGTGCCCTCTTGTTCCAGCTGGTGCCCTGCCAGATGATGAGCCAACCCCCTGCCTCAGGTCCCTGGGTTGTCAGCCTTCATTGCTGCCACCCAACCCAACAGCTGAGACCTTCCACGGAAGTGGCAGGGACAGAGGACTGGAAGGCTCTCTGTCACCATGGCAGCAGGGACAGTTCAGACCAAGCACAGGTAAAGGAACAGTCACTTATGAAGTATCCATTCTGTGATGTATGCATCACACACATAACCAAACTTCCATTTTCCAGAGGAAGAAACCAAGCAAGGAAACAGCTTGTCTAAGATCACACAGCAAGAGAACAGCAGAACCAGAGAGCGAATAAAATCACTTTTCAGGTCCTTCAATTTACCAAATTCATTCCTGCCTCAGGGCCTTTGCACATGCTGTTCTCGCTGCCCTTCAAGCTCCACCTCCGCCTGCCAGCTCCACCCTGTCATTCAGGTCTTAGCTGAAGGTCACCTCCTTGGAGAAGCCATCCTGACCACCCCATAAAGAGTTTCACCTCCTTACTTATTCATCGTGCTTTATTTCTGTATAGCACTCGTGTCTTCTTGACATTATATTTTATATTTTTATTATCTCTATTTCCACTAAGATGTAAGTTTCATGTGGTTGAAAACCTTGTCTCTCTTTTCATGTACCCAGTGTTTGGCCCAGAACAATAACAGCAGGTAACATATCTAACACTTTCTACATGACAGGTGCTGAGCTAAACATACGTATTAATTCATCTAATCCTCACAACAACCCTTTGAGGAAGGTACTATCATTATCCCTGTTTTACAGATTAGAAAACTGAGTAACAGAGAGGTTAAGTGGCTTGCCAACATCACACAGCCAAGAAGTAGAAGAGCCAGGATTCAAACCCAGGCAGGTGGGTTCTAGAGTTTGCCTGGCACATAGTAGGTGCTTGATGAATGAATGAATGAATGACCTAAGAGCCTGTCCTTTCCTCCCCATCTCAGTGCTGCCTCAGACCCAGTCTCCCGCCCACTTCTTACCCTCTTACCTCCATTGGAGAGTTGAGCGGGTACAGCTGACACTGTGGCCACAGCTCTGCCAGGCGGTGTCCAGGGGCTGGGCCTTCCCGCCGAGCCAGCATCAGGTGCCTTCGTGGGGGCAGGAGACTTCCAGGGGCAGCCAGGCCGGGCCTCACAAGCTGCCCCCCTCACTCCTTCAACCACAGCCTCACCTCGACGTGGGGGTGCCAGGGTGATAAAGACAGACGAGGCGACCCGCTTCTCAGGCTTTGAGGCCATTGCCTCGGCTCCTGGTGGGGTCGAGGGCAAAGTGGAACTTGGACTCAGGCAAGGCTCAGGGCACGGGGGAGCATTCCACATAGACACACAGACACCCCCCCCCCACCTAGGGACATGGAGCCTCCGTCTCCCCAAGAAGACTGGAGCAGCCACCCCACCGTGCCAGCGACACCCAGCCCAGCCAAAGAAGGGGCTGAGGATGTCCTTTGGGGAAAGGCAGGTGTCCACCAGGTGACTTGGCGTGGATCCCAACAGTCCTGACTGCCCCTTCCCCCAACCTGCACACCTGGGGGAGCTGCCCTGCTCGCCTCACGAATGATTAATTTTCCTCCTCCAAGAAATGTGAGGAAGGAACAGCTCCTACAGCTCCGCACCCCCCCAATGGCCACACCCCAAGTTACCTCCCTCACCTGGGAACTGGATTCTCTTGGGAGAGTCAAAGTCCCCAAGGTTCAGGCCAGCTCCACTGTGGGAGGCAGAGGAGACAGAACCATCGGAGCTGCTGGTTACCAAGAGCTACTCTGCCCACCATGCCCTAAGCACTTCCTGCCCGTTAACTCTAATTCCCCCCAACGCTGCTGGAGAAGAGGGACTACAAATGAAGAAACAGAGACAAGGAGGGGAACTCACTTGTTCAGGGTCACACAGCAGTGCAGCTGGGATGTGAACCCAGAGCCTTCTCCCTGCCCACAAGCCAGCATCCTTTTCTCCACCATCAGCCTCTATATCCAGTCAGGTCCTGCTTCTATTGCTGGAATCTCTCACTCTGTCCTATCTCTAAAACCTGGTTCAGGCAGGTGCCCCATTGGCTCCAATCCTGCCTCCTACCCTGCACCTGGAGTGGTCTTTCCAGAGTGTAAAGCTGTTTTCTCCTCTACTCAAAAGTCTTTCATGGCTCCCTGCCATTTTCAAGTTAAAGTCCAAATTCCCCTGGCCTCAGCCTCTTTTTTGACCACCCTGGACCACTCACCTTTCCTTGACTATCTCCCTTACCTGCCTTGGGGCGTTTTCCACCACCTTTTTCCTCTCTCGCCCCTCCACAGGGTGAATTTCAGTTTTTCCTTAGAGGCCCAGCTCCAACACTACCTCCTCCATGAAGCCTCCCCTGATTCCGGAGCTCTCCCCTGGGGCTGCTGTCTGTTTCCACAGGGTGATGACAGCTCATCACAGGGCTTGCTGGCTCACTGTCACCATGTCTGTCCACGCCCCCCGCCCTCCATAGATGATCACATCCAGCTCACAATACAGGCATCAAAGCATGGATTTGGGAGCAGAGTGGCACCCCAACCAGGGAGAGCCCATATTTTATCTCAGGTGGTTTCCTGCAGACAGTAGCCTCTGGGGCCAAGGCCGTGGTGGGGCCATGGGGTGGAGTGAGTCAAGGACACTCCGCTCAGGAGCAAACTGGGCGGGGTGGGGAAACGTGTCCTTTTTCTATCTCACTCTCCAGCTGGGCCATCCTGACATGGCCCCAAAGCCCAGCCCACAGGTTTAGTGGGGAGGAGAGTAAATAGGGACCCAGAGAGTTAACCTGGAGAAGTGGGGCTGGGTGGGCGGGGCGGGTAAGAGCCCTGAGGGGCTCTAACAGTGAACTTGGAGCTGGAGAGCCACTCAAAGGCTTCCCTCTCTCTGTTCAACTGGCCCCCGTGGGCAATCTTGGTGACTGACCAACAAAAACAACAAAAACAACATATGCTCGTAAATTCCTCCTAAATTGATTTAGATGTTTGGTTAAAATGTATAGCTCAGTCTGATCATAAAATATCTGTTCTGGGGGCAGCCGGTTAGCTCAGGTGGTTAAAGTGCAATACTCCTAACACCAAGGTTGCCAGTTCAATCCCCACATGGGCCACTGAGCTGCTCCCTCCACAATTAGATTGAAGACAACTACTTGACTTGGAGCTGATGGGTCCTGGAAAAACACACTGTTCTCCAATAAAATCCTTAAAAAAAAAAATAAAAAAAAATATATATGTATTGTTCTGAAAAAGAAATCAATCTATGAAGAAAGCTTCAAAAGTTCTTCAAAATATTTCTCTTTTGTTTCTTGTTTTATGTGATGTCTGCAAGTACATATGCTTATACAGACTGTCATAATCTTTGGTTTTACACTTTGCTACAAGTTTAATTATCTATGTTTGTAAACAACTTTCAGAGTGCATCTGAGATCTAAATACAAGAAACAACAGGGCACTTGCTGATAAAGCGCTTGCTGTGTGCCAGGCACTGTGTGCCATGCGCTGTGCCCAGTGCCTTCCATGCCTCAAAACTCACCTAATTCTCAAAACAGCCCCTTTCGCCTCTACTTCACAGATGGGCACGAGAGGCCCCGAGAGGTTAAGTGACTTTTATAGGCCATCTGTGGCACACTCGGAATTCTAATGAAGCACTAGCCGATCTGAGTCCTCAGGTGTCTGTCCTTGGACCTGAGACACACCTTTTCTTCCCTGGAGGGCACGGGGGCCCCCAAATTCTCAGGCCTGTTCTCACCCCTGAATGCCCCAATCCGAACCAGTCACCTTGTGGTCAGTGCATTCTGGGCTGCCCCGAGACTTCTGCGGTGCCCTTTTCACCTCCTTCCCACCCTGCTCTGACCCCCACTCCACCCCAGCCCACCCCTTAAGGAAGTTGGATCTGGCGGTTTCTCGGAAAACATCCAAGGCAAGCTTCCCAGTGCTGACGCCAGATGTTCACAGCTGGGCACACCCCCCCACACACACACACACACTCCCTGCGGTTCCTGCTGGGACTTCGGGCCCCAGGGGAAGGGGCCAAGCTGGGGACTTTCAGAGCCTGGTCAGTTGGGTCAGTAGTCAGGCCCTGGCAGGAAACGGAGGTTCAGATTCCCTCTGGTCCCACTGCCCCCACGTCACTCTGGAGTGGAGCACATGTGAGAAAGCTCCCCGCGGGGCAGCCTCCCAGTCAGCGGCATCCAGGGGACCCTCCACCCCCATCCTTCCTCCCCCAGAGGGTGACTCTGAGATCCAGTTGGGTAAGCAGAGAAAGTGGGAACAAAGGGAAGGAAAGTCATTTCCTGTCAAGAGGAAGGAAGGAGGCTGCGATCCAGCCAGCCAGCCACCCAGCCGGCTTTAAGCTAAAGCCCAGGGCAGCGATGGGCGGGCTGAGTGGGAGGGCCTCCAGGGGCTGTGGGTAGTGACCCACGCCTTTGTCCCCTGTCCTACTCCTTCTCACCCCTTCCCCAAACTCTGGAACTGCCCCATAGCTTTGTTTTTTGATACTCTGATAAGCAATCTATGCTTAGTTTGGAATTAAACTTTGAGGGAGGTGGAGGTGGGACTGCACCCCCTTTATCCCCCCCCCCCAAGGGGACCTTGCAGCCTTAGATAGGTATTCCCCCTCCTCCTCTCCCACTCCAGGGAAGTGGAGGAGGCACAGAGCTGGGTTCACAGGGGCCCCACCGCTTTGCTGCTGGGCGACACTGAGCAGGTCACTGAACCTCTCTGGGCTTCAGGTTTTTTATCAAGTGAGAATTAATGAGGTCTGTCCTGAAGGGTGGCTGGCTGAGAGAATAAGAGGAAAGGGTGCTCAAGATCTTGGTACTTGGTAATAAGCAAAGAGCAGGCCAGCTGGTTACTCAGCCCCTGAGGGGAAGGAACAGCCCTTGGGGGCTGGGCTCCTGGGGGTCCTAGGAGGACCAGGACTTAGCTTCTGTCATTATGAAGAGCAGAAATCTGGGCACACTGCCCAGCGTCTTCCGAGGGTCCTCAGGTCTGGGCTGGAGGAGGTCTCATGCCAACATGCACACACCTTGGGGATCGCCCAGGCTCACCCTGTCCCAACCACCTACGGGGACTAAGGCCCAGAGGGGGGGCAGTCCTGGGGTCCCTCTCCTGACCCTGGCTGGGTAAAGGGGCCCGCAGGTCCCGGGAGTTCCAGAAACCCGGCGCCCTCCCGCAAGCAGCCACGCAGGGCGGCTGGCCGGGTCACCATGGGGCACCGCCAGGGACTTTAATTCGTTCCATGTGCGGGACGCTGTCCCCTTTGTGCGGGAGCTTCCGCCCTGCCCACCCCTGCCCCTGGCGCCCCGCTCCTGGGCAGGGACACCGGCCCTCCCCCCGCTCCGGGGACAGACCCGGAGGGACTGAGAACGAAGGGACGGCCCCCACCCCCAGCCCGTCCCCCAGCCGCCCTCCAGGGGCACCGCGGCTGGGGTCCCGGCTGGGGGCGGGGTGGGCTCCGGCCCGGGGTGGCCCGCACTGTCACCTGTGTGTGGCCGGGGCAAGGACTGAAGGACGAGACCCCCCGCACCCCGCTTACCTGGGCCGCCCGCGCCCCAGCCGGCTCCGGTCCGACGCCAGAGCGAGCACAGCCGGGAGGAGCGCGGGCCTCCCGCCCCTCCGCCCTCCCCGCCCCCTGG